ATCCCAAGGAAATGATGAGGTGGATAAATTGGCCTAGATATGTTGGTTTAGAAAGAAAGCCTGCCTCTGATGTAGCCCAATGGTTACATCAGCATTTGTTGCATGCGGGGCAAAAGACAATGTGGGCTGTAGCCCATCGGTGGGGCTTGCCTTTGACCTTCGAAGAAGTTAGTAGAGCCCGGCAGGAGTGTGTCGTGTGCTCCAAAAGGGACTTACACCGAGTTCCACAGCAACATGGGACAATAGCTAAGGGACTATACCCCTCATCAAGTGGCAGATAAACTATACTGGGCCTCTACCTGGGTCAGAAGGATATCAGTATGCGATGACGTGTGGACACAGCCACTGGACTTGTGGTTGCTTTTCCTGCCCATTGTGTAGACCAGCAGATGACCAGAAGAGGCCTGGAGCGTCTGTTTGCCGCCTATGGCTGACCACAGGTAATTGAGAGTGATCGGGGCACCCATTTTACTGGACATACACTGCTGGGAATCCAATGGAAGTTTCATGTGCCGTACAATCCTACTGCAGCAGGCATGATAGAGAGGCACAATGGCTTAAAATCCGGACTAAAGTCAGATACCAATAGTCTGCGGGGATGGTCAGTCCACTTATGGACTGTGCTATGGCATTTGAAAGAGAGACCCCAAAAGGGAGCCCTGAGCCCCATAGACATGTTAGCACATATGGCTGCCTCCCCTGTACAACTGCAAGTACAAACCAAGGGAGAATCACTGAAGCCCAGGTTTGGCCACCAGAATAACATCTTGCTGCCAGCACCAGCTGCACTGAACCCCGGAGACTCCACTGAGTGGACGTGGCCTTGGACCTTTCAACACATGGACCAACGATGGCTGGCTCTCCTGGCACCTTGGGGACAAGGCCTGGAAACTGGCCTTCTGTGTATTCCTGGAATAGCAGCATAGTGGCCCCCAGAGGTCACAGTAGTATATCCTGAACGGCCAGAAGGTAGGAGCATCTTACCGGGGAGTTTTGTTTTATCATTACAGCCACTGCATGCACCTCCAGTAGCACTACATATAGACCCTTCAGTAACCCCCATGGGGAGAGGAATAAAAGTATGGTACACTAGACCTGGAAGGGACCCCCTTCCTGCTACAGTCCTATCCCAGGACCACTCTCTTGCATGCATCCTACCTGATGGACAAGATTTGCCTATGTTGGTGGCATTAAAATGTAGTCTTATCGCCCCTAAGGTCTTTGTGGATTAGGAACCTCCTCTAGCTTGAGGATTATTATAATTTTTGTTCAAAATGTTGTATCTTAATTTTTGTTATTATCTCTAAGTTTTTGTTACCCTCTGTTGCTGTTGTGGAATCTGGTTACAGTGCACCAGCTTTCTCGCACAGGGACCATTGCAGAAGATTGAGAGTGTGTAGATTGTAAGGAAGAATACTGGAGGGGTGGAGTGTGGGGAAGTTGGGGTTCCTATGGCCAGGATCCTCACTGAACTTAAACCACCTGATGCTGTAACTGGCCTATTGCTAGGCTACTGCTTCCACAGCCGTAGGCAATAAGATATTATTGACTGAGTCACTATATAAAGAGCTTGGCCCAGGGCTCTGGGCAGAGGCAGAGATGACAGAGGATTACAGGCCTGCAGACTGTTGGATGCAGACGTAACTCTAGTGCTCGACCTACCGTCGGGAATCAAGCCCAGTAATAAACCGTTTCGCCCCAAGAATGCTCTAGTGTCATTTCCTTGGTCAAATTGAATCCATAGTGAACTTGCCCGGGGCTGAAACCCATTGGCAAGACAGCTACTAGTCAACCAAGTGATTAAACTTAGTGTCCCTAATAGCCCACTTAGAGGCTTTTCAGTCTCTAAAATGGAAGATGAGATCATAGTTCTGACTTTCCCAGTTCCTTCCCGTGACAGATTCAGTGCTAACTGTGGTCCCTAAGACATAAGTGTTAAGGTTCTCTAATGGCTATTTTGTTTTTCTGTGTGTTATAATATCTAACAAGAATTAAGGTTGAAATCAGTATCTGCCAATAGATGTTGACTTAAATTGACACAGCTCTGAGTTTAAAGAACAGAACAGAACCATTCATGTAAAGCTTTAGGACCCCTAAATAAAGTAGTATACCTTAGGAAAAACTTTTTAGGACAGTCTGAACTTGAGTAGTTAAGTAATTTTGTTATAAAGCACAGGAAAGTAGTCAATTTGATGATGTAGTGATTCCTAATGTAAACCTAGCGCTGCTATCAATTGGTAACTTTAAATGTAATTTAGATTTGTATATGATGTAAATAGTTATAAAATAATTTAATTGTTTTACTATTAACAATCTTATTTAAATGATTTCATGAGAACATAGCGCTGTTACCTTGGTTTGTGGACCAAATGTCTCTAAGGCAGCATTTCTCTAACTCTCTGGAGAGCATTCATCTTGAGAGATGCTGTCTGCAAAATAGGCTCACTGGGCTAACTTTGGCAAGCACTGCATATAGTAATCTTTTACAAAGAAATGTAATGCACATTAGCATGTGAAGAGCTCTGAAGTCTTACAAGGAAAGATCTGTTCACTAGCATTCCCCAAATTTAACTGACCACAGAAACCTTTTTTCCTGTTACAGCAATTCCTAGAGACACTTTATGGAATGTTGCTTTAAAGAACAGCTGGTCTCAGTAATGGTATTTGAACATCAGGGACTGTTCTTGTATCTTAGTCCATTAATAGCAATGTAGGTTTTTTCTAGCATGCTGGCAGAGGTAAGGAAGGATCCTCCCTGGTACGGACTGAAGTTTCTGTCCCCCAAATTTGCATGCTGACATCCTGACCCCCCAAGGTGATATTAGGAGGTGGGGCCTTTGGGAGGTGATGAGGTCATAAGGGTAGAGCCCTCTCTAATGTGGTTAGTGCACTCGTAAGAGACCCAGGAGAGCTCCCTCACCCCTTCCACCGTGTGAGGACACAGCAAGAAGACACCAAACCAGGAAGTGGGCTCGCACCAGACACGGAATCTGCTGTTTCCTTGGTCTTGGACTTCCAGCTGTTATCAGAGATGCGTCCTTGATGTCATTGTGAGAAAAAATTCAATAACGGACACAAAAAGCGGTTGAGCTTTGTAAGTTTATTTGCAAAAAAGAGAATAGAGAAAGCAATAGTACACGTCCCAGAGTTGTGCGTGGGCAGACCCAGAAGGGGTTGCCTTCAGGTTGCCTTTTGTACAGGGAGATGAGTATTCACCAAGTGGGATTAGGTTTCAAAGGGAACAGTTTTTTTGGCCTTTGGGCTTGTTCCAGCCTCAGGATAGTGGACAGATGGTTGGCTGTATTTGGTTTTCAACAGGAGTGTCAAGGCTCAGGGAGGTGTGATTTCTTACTATGGTGAGGACAGAAGGGTATGATTTTTACTATGTTAATAGATTTTGGGGTGAAGTTCGGGTCAATTTCTCCTCCATGGTGGAACCAGCCCGTTTTAGCAGTGTACGTCTATACCCTCACTGCACATCCCAACAAAACAGCTCACACAGGATGATTGGAATGTAAGCAAGCATCCGACTTAAGTCCCCCTTCCTCTCCCTGCTTCTATTTACCTATCTACCTAGTGTAACACAGCCACCAGAGCTGTGAGAAATAAATGTAAGCCACCCCCATCTGTGGTATTTTGTTATACGAGCCCAAATGGACTGAGACAGGGATCTAACAATTTGTTTCTGCGCTTGCTTAGAAAGTCATCTTTTTCTTTTTGGGGGGGGCGGGGTGGAGAGCAGGGTGGAGCTAGCACAAATTTGAGGAAAGCAAATGGCTTGATACTGTCTCCTATCCCCAACACTACACTCACTGACAACTGTCAACAGGCTTCCTCCAGCAGCCTTGTATTAACATCAATCTCTGCTGTAATAGGTTTTGATTATAAGGATATACTCACCTAAGAATTCTATTTGTTGCTGCCTGCCTGATGTCTTATGAATTTTTTTTCAGTTTTCTCATGGTAAGTTACAAGTCCCTAAGTATTCCAAGAATCATTTCTGTGCCTTTCCTACCACTCACTTAACAATATTCAGTGCCTTCTTCTAAGCACTGTAGTGGTGATGCAAAAGTGGGAAGAAATGTTCTTACAGGCACCTGTAAGGACACTTTGAATTATTGGAAATGTAACAGGTATGGAATTGGGTTAGAGAAACCTTAGTATTTAGCACATAGTCTATGAAAGAGGTCACAATTGTGATGTTGGAGGGGTGAGTCTTCACCTAACATATCTCACGTTAGGTCTATGAATATATGTAGTAACCTGAATTTAAATGCTAAAGAGAATTCATTAATACCAATTCTCCATGGACAGTGACTGGGTGTCCTACAAATTTAATTCAGTTATGACACTATCTGGAGTTAGCATCAGATCTCACTGGTTAAGTGCTGAGTCCCACAAGACACCTATTCCAAGTCTAGGTTGTTACCTGTGCTTCTGATTGGCTATGAATCTTGAGGTTCCCAACGGTGCTTTCCAGTTCAATTTGCTAGAGTGGCTCACAGAACTCCAAGAAACATTTACTTAAATGTTTAAGTTTATTATAAAGGATACAGATGAACAGCTAGATGAAGAGGTACACAGGGCAAGGTTCTGTGCGCAGGAGCCTCTGTGGCTGCATTCTGGTTCACCAACCAGGAAGCCCTCTAAACCCCAATTGTTTTGGGGTTTTTATAGAATCTTCATAACACAGGCATGATTGATTAAATCACCAGCCACTGGTGACTGAACTCAATATTCTCCAGCCCCACCCCAAAGATCAGGGCAGAGGTGGGGACTGAAACTGCCAACCCCCTAATCATGTGGTTGGTTCCCCTGGCAACCAGCCCCATCCTTAGGAAACCCAGGGACTTTCCAGTCACCTCATTAACATAACAAAAGGCACGTTTATCCCTTTTGACTTAGGAAATTCCTAGGGTTTTAGGAGCTCTGTACCAGAAACGGAGATAAAGACCAAATACATATCATTAAGTCATAATACCACAACTACCAAACCAAAATTTTTCACCTACCAGGTTTATTTTAGCAGCTCAGTTTTATTACATTCTACATATTTAATATATTTATATTTATATTCTGTTCTGCATAGATGGCATATTCTTTAACTTTTATAGTTGACTTCATTTGCTGTTTGCTGCTACCTGGCCTTAAGGAGAGTCAGGAGGACAAATAAAACTTGCTTCGTGAAAATGTGGTGCAGCATTTAACTTCTCAGCGAACTTGACTTTGATGTGTACTTCAGTGTCAGCTTTTCTTCGTCTTCAAATCCTGAACAGACCAGAGATCTTCCCTTGGGATATCGAGCACAACACTTAAGCAGTTCGTGGATGACAGCCTGACACTTAGATTCCATGTAGTTGTTGGCTGAAAAACAGGCAGGCAGACCCTAGTCATGATCTAAGGCACAGGGAGGTTTAGATTGGCGCTTCCCCCTCCTTTTCACTTTACTGTATCTACAGACCTGAGGCAGCATGTACTGAGGGCCACTGATTTCTTTCTGATTTAAACACCAGTCAACAAGTAATTAGGAAGACTATGTTTACAAAGTAGTCAAAAAGTATAATTAAAAATAATTTCCTTTTTTTTTTTAGTTAATAGCTTATGTGCCTTTTCTACAGCTCGTTTTTAACCTCTCTCTCCTTCCTTTTTTGGTCATTAACCCCTTTTTGTTAATTTGGTGAATTAGCAAAATGCATGTATCCTTCATGGAATTTTGCATGCAGTTTAAAGTGGCTGCTGGACTGTCCCTAAGTCTGCACACCTGGGGTTGACAAATTACAGCCTCAGGGTTGAATTCAACTTTTTTTTACAGCTGTGAGCTAAGAATGGTTTTTACATTTTTATAGGGTTGTAAACACACACACAGTATACAACAAAGACCTCCTAGCCTCCAAAGCCTAAAATATGTCCTATTTGGCCCTTTATGGAAAACATTTGCAGACCCCTGCTATACACAGATCCTAAGTCAAGGTGGACTTGACCTAAAGGTTCTAGGGCAGCTGCAGTTGACCTGAATACCTGGATACTAAAATAGGGTGCATGAAAGTTAGCCCAGGATAGGAAAGACAATTCTCATCGGAAATGGAGCATAAAGCAGGGTGGCTGAGTCCAGGGTTGGAGCCAGACCAAAGGGGTTCAAATCCTTGCTGTACCCCTTACTAGTTGTGTTACCCTGGGTAAGTTACAAACTTGTGTGTCAATTTCCCCATCTATAAAATGGGGGTCATAGTAGCATCTATCTCATGAACGAAAGGATTAAATGATTTAATATGTTTAAAGCTCTTCTAATTGTGCTTATCATTCAAGGAGTACTTAATGCTAACTTTTAGTCTTTCCAACCTTCAAGCCTCCCGCACTGTAACCAGCTCTAACTGAATTCTTGTTCTCCCTTATCCAGGCGTTGCTAATTCAAATCAGGTAAGAATTTATTTGGGAGGATAAACTGTAAAAAACATTTTTCCCTTTTCTTAAATTTAGAGGAAGGGAAGGATGAATAAAATGGCATAATTTTATACATTAACATTTTAGATGAAAAGATTGTATAAAATACTGCTTACATCATAAAATAAAAGTTCAAGAATGAAACTTAAAAAGTCAACAGAAATATGTGAACAAGGGTTTCCTTTGGTGGTGAGCATTTGGGTGAACTTTGAACATTTGTCCTTCCTACTCTTATCTGTTTTCATAGGCACCGATCTCTATTACTTTAATGGAAAAGTTATCAAAGAAAGTCAGTTTTCAAATTCAGATAGCCATGGAGCTTTTTCTATTTTTTCTGCCAGTAATCATTCACTGATTATAAAAAATAAAATCCCGTAACATTTAGTCAAACTTATTGGCTAATTTAAAACCAAATGGGGCAAAAATGGACAAATCACATCAAATAAGCTTTAGGTGAGAGTAAGTTGCTGACTTCGGCAGCCTGAATTCCAATTATATTTTCAATACCTCCTTCTAACCTGATTGCTTTTAAAAAGTGAGTTTTCAGCCACAATGAAGTATAACCAACGCACTTAAAACGAGTGTTTAAAAAAAAAAAGCATTTTGCTCATCCTAGTAATTCTTAACTCTGGGTGCACATTAAAATAACCTGGTTAGCTTTTTAGACCAATTCCTGCCCACACCCCTGGAGGTCTGATTTAATTGTTCTAGGCAAGTTTTTAAAGGGCTCCAGGTGATTCTAATGTACAACCATGCCTGCAAATCCCAAGCTTAGATAACACCACTTTTTCTGCATCTTTGATGACATAATGAGAAAGCTTCCAGATAATTACAGAAATATTACATTCTGAATGGAGTTAATATAGTTTACTGATAAAAAGAACAATTGGTCTCTTATAATTAGTTTAGAGATAAAGTGGAAAAATATAAAAAAACATTTAACATATTACCTTGTAAACATTTCTGTATTTCACAGGCTTGTTTCTGGCACGGATCCTTCTGTGGCATATCCAGAAAACTAAAATAAGAAAAATGATTTTTATTTTGTCTTTTATCTATAAAGACTTTAAAGCCCCTCGAGATGGAATTTTCTTCTGAGACAAGCAGTATGCCCTTACAGTTGCTGGACAACAATTACACTAAAAATATTTCCATTCATAGGATGAATCAGATGTATTTTTATATCCATTTCATTCAATTTGGAAGATATAATAGCTTTACAAAAAAAACCCTTGATTTCAATCAACTCATCTTGAATACTGTAAACCAATGTTGGGCTAGAGAAGCTCGTGCCACAGCCTGATGGGCCTGTCCACTGCCTGGCACTACCATTCATAGAACCACACTTGCTAAGTAATTAAACCCCTTGAGCCTTTTTCCTTATTAGTTGTGTGTAAAATGGGGATACCTACCTCAAAACATTGATGGAAGGATTAAATGATAAAGAATATAAAGTGCATAGAATAGTGCCTGGAAGGCAGTAAGGGCTCATATACTGTATTTATTATTCCCAAGATTTTTTTAAAAGTAAAACCTTACTTTTAATATATATAAACCATTATGATAATTTTAACTCAGGAAATACTTTATCAAGTAGTAAATGCTTTCCTAGGAATCAGCAATATTTGGTGCTATTACTTCTAGAGGGAAGTGCTAGTTGAGCAGCTAAAAATGATTTTTGGAGCTCTTATAGAAACCAACTTATTTAAAATATCTGTAATCACAGAATGAATTTAAGTGCCCCTGATTTGGATCAGCAACTTCTAATAACTTGAAGACAATTCCAGAAAGGAAAAAGGCCCAGGAGCCTTTGTAGCTAATTTCATTAAGGCAGATAACCTCCCGCCCCACCTTTTTTCCCCCAGAGCACCCTAATTTCTCTGTAGATCCAAGTTAGGTCAGTACTGGGATGGGAAACACTGGAGCAAAACCTAGGATATTTACAGGATGGGAGAAGGAAAGGCAGGTGGATTGCTGCAGAGCAAATAAGCGACAAATAGATGTTGATGCTGCTAGGAGCTGCTCTCTTCTCTCTAAATCAGTACCAAGTCCTTGGTGATCAGGGCATCTGTTCTGTAGCAGGTGCTGACTTTTGTGGGATTCATCAGATCCCAGTTCCAGCTGATGATGTCCATTAAAGGTTCTATGGCAATTTCCAAAGGAGTCAATTTCAAGTTACATATCCTGACTAAGTGTTTTTGTTGACTCACTTTCTGCCTGTGTAACCCTCTCTCTGCAGTTCCACTTGTGGTGTTCTTCATGACCCTTCCTAAACTTCTGTGTTCTTGAGCAGTTTTTCAACCCACTCCCTCCCTCCAGGCCCACAGGTGGGTGCACTGCAGTGGCGGATAAAGTGATTGCCATATACTGAACAGAACAGAGGAGCATATCTTCCTAGAATCCCAGCACCTGGAAAAAAAACAGATCATTAAAATCACCATAAGCAAATAAAGTGAGAAAGAAGGAGGGACAGAGGAGAAATAGAAATACTTACCAGGTTAATCATCAGGCAAAAGCTTAAGCAACAGCTCCTGTACGCCCCTGACCTGTCACAAAAAGAGACGTTTATAGAGTACGCTGTTACAGGGGCTCCGATACAATGGAACATGATCAAGCAACATGTGTACCATTAAATGATGCTGGATCTGCCACAAGCGAGAGTTGTTATCCATGTAGCGCTCCTCTGGGTAGAGTTGCCACATGAGAGGTAGCTGGGAGGTAAGAAGGTGACTTGGTCTAGCTGCGTCACCTAAGGGAACCTGAACTTGCTGGACTCTTGCCCTTAGGAAACTCGTCTCCTGATGGAAAGAAATGACCAAAATAAAACCAAGGACTTCAGGATATTGAGACTGGTTAGAAACCAGGTTGCTTGAAAACAAAATCAATAAATAAACAAACAAAATGTAAAGTTACCTCTTCCACGACGGCCACCCACGTGCGTTGGTATTCGTCGCGGTAGATGCCCTCTTGGTGAACCCAGAGGTGATCGGGTGGAGCCCCCACATCCTCTCCTGCCATTCTGGGCTTTGGGTTCCAATTCTAGCCCTGCTTTTCTCCACCTAAGCCTGTAGCACCCGCGCACAGGACACAGGTGTGACTTTTTGGGTTTGAATGAACTCATCAGTGAGCAAGGTGACCTGGTACTAGCAACCACCAACCAGAACCAAACCTCATATATGTCTACTTGCACAGCCTAAACATAGCCAAGGACATGTGAAGCTCCCTGCAAGACAATGAAGTGACACTCAGGCAGAGACTTAGGTAACGCTAATGATTGACTGTGAAGCACTCATGAGTTCAGTTAGGTGAGGTGTTGTGTGGGAATGTAGGAAGCTGGGCAATGGTCTCACAGTCTTTGCATTCACAAAGCAGCATGTGACAAAATGTAGCTAGCAACAGAATATGCACAGGGGTGTACCTAAGGGTACACTGATTTGAGCAGGAAAACAGTGGAATAGATACATGCATGCCATGTTCTCCAGGTAAAAGCTCCTTCCAAGCAGTTCCATTTTCAACTTAAGATTCTGAAGGCCAAATCATGTGATAGCTTTGTAAATTGAAATTAAAAGTTTGTTTTAAAGGCAAACAACCTATTTATCAATTTACTTAGAAAGGTTACTTATAGCAGCTGGGCCTCACAATAACTTGACCTGCATTTTGCAGGAATGAATTGTTTGGACTTGGCTCATGATGTCCCAGGACTGGTTTCACTGTATTTCTGTCTTTGGCAGAACACAGATACAGCACTGGGGATGTGCCCAACAAAACAAAAGGCCTCCTATTCCCATTAGGTGGCAGAGGACCTGCAGCACATCTTGGGAGAGTCTTAAACGCACCAGTGAGATTGCCAAGAGCGAACAGTATGATGCAGCCCAGGAAAAAGCTACAGAAAAGAACTAATCGAGCTAAAACAAGCTCTCTTTTCAAGGACAACAATTGAGTCTGACTTTGTCCTTAATACTGTTCATTTACTTTCCCTGGAAGGAATGTAGAAAATACTTTTTATGGACTTTAAGAAACAGTCAGATTTTAGTGGATAATTTAAGAGTATCACAATTGCTATCCCATTGCTCTCTCAGTGGGTCTAACTCTGAGCCCACTATAAGCTCCTATCTTCGAGGGCTCTCCATTTCCAACTCACCTAAAGTGGAACCACTTCTCCTTCACCAAATCCCAGTTTCTCTCAATGGCAACACCACCTCTCCTGATCCTGCAGACTCAAAATTTGAGTTATCTTGGAACTCTTTCTCTCCTTCAGTTGCTACATCTTATCTGTCACTAATTCCAGCGAGCACCACTACCGGCTGTACCTAAGACAAATATCAGGCTCCTCCAAACACCAGGCTCATTTCTAACTCTTCCTTCCCAGTTGCCTAAATGCCTCCCCAGGCCTATCTCACTACTATTACTGCAGAGGAGTGCAGATGCCTGCGTTCTCTATGTAAACTTCTTGCCTCTAATGACTACTGTAGTATTTCTCTCTAAAATTCAGCTCTTATTTTGACCTCTAACTATAAATTGCCTTGCATTGTTTGCTATGCCTATTTCACAAGTCCTGTCTACAATCAACAGAGTATTGTAAGCTCCTCGATAGCAGGAATGATACAGTATTGGGCACCTCAAGTCTCAAATACTAGTCAAACAATGTTGTTGTGAGTGGGTGGTAGGTATGGTGAGTAGAGGGGAAACAGATGAAGGCCACATATACACAGGTAGAGACTGATTCTTTAGGTGTATTATATAACTATCTATTATTTTTTTCAAAGCCATTTTTTTTCCATTTAGCAGACAATTGTTTTGCCTCTCCTCCTCCCCAGGGCTTTGGAAAGGAGAGAAACAAAAACCCAGTGAATACTAATGCCAAAATATAGTAAAGTCTGGATTTTGAGTAAAAGGAAGTGTCGCCTTTTTAAAAAGTAGAAACCAGTGTTAAGTGTTTCAGGACAATCTCAACTTCACAGATAGGTCCTAGAAACAACCAACATACTGACATTAAAAATTTTTTTGGCTAAAAAGCAAAATTTTACTGGTTATACTGACATTATTAAAAGGAAATAATTCCGGTGGAACAGAGGGCAAACAAATTGGAGATGGTCTAAGTTACTATGAACCACTACAAAGAAGCCTATGAATCACTACAAAATATTCTTAGAAGAAAGGCAGCATGCTGGGCATGAGCTGGAGAAGCCTGGAAACAAACCCTAGCATATGACCTTGAATTTCTGTTAGCTAGCACTCAGAGATACCATGAAAGCCCAGTGAGAGGCAACTGCAGTGATCAAGGGACTGAGAAGCTGCTATAGAAGCACTAACCAATATCCTCAACAGAGAAAAGTAAAGGCTGAATTAGAGGAATTAAGAGTCCACAAAATCACAGGTTGTATTAATGGTATACCATTTCCTTAATGTGATTCTTGGAACATTCGCCTCTTTTTCTTTGGTCAAATAACTCTGGGAATCTTGTACAGTCATAAAGTACATTAGCATAGTAAAAGTTCTGGCAAACTATGCAGTAAAGAAACTTTATTTTGTTTAACATTCCCCAAATTTATTTGACTAGAGAACATTTTTCTGTGCATGACACCTGTTCCACTCAACTCAAAGATACTACGAGCTACAAACTGAAATGGTTTTAAAAAAGTGTTTGTATAGCTTTATCATCCATGAAGACACTAAAAGAGATTGTTCCCCTGGGGCTCACCTTGGTGCTACGGCCAGACCACACTGACCTAGATAGATAATTTTTTAGTAAGGCACTTTGTAAATTATGTTTTAAATGGATGATATACAACATAGAAGGGCTTTCTTTGGTAGTACTCTAAGACTATTATTTTTCCTTCAAAGAATGAATTATTTTGTCTCGTGTAAAAAAAACTGTGTAATTTGCTTAAATTTCTAAGTGTTTGAACGTTTTTAAACATTAATAAGTTGAATACACATATTTTATTTGAAGTCAAGTAATAAACTCATCCAATTACAATGGGTGAAGTTACCAAGAATGCAGGCCTTGGAGTCAGCCTGGCCTGCATATGAATCCTGATTCTACCACTAAGTAGCCTTGTGACTTGGGACAAGTTAACTTCTTTACAACTCAGAGGTATAAAATGAGAATTTAAAGAATATATTGATCATAATGGTCAGCACTTCCTATGTTTTATATATACTGACTTAGTATTCACAATCACCTGATTAGATAGATACTTATTATTACCCCTGCTTAAAGATGAGAGAAGGCACAGAGAAGTTAGGTAACTTGTACTACGTCACTGAGGTATTAAGTTGCAGAGCCTGATTCCAACTGGGGAAGTTTCCATATATAAAGTATATAAATGCTTAGTAGGGTGTCTAGCACATAAACTTGCCATAAATGCTAACCGTTTTATCCTACTCCATTTAAACGTTTAGAGCTCAATATTATAATAGAGAATATCATTCTGGAATATGAGATTTACTAACTCCAGCAATAAACAAAAGGTGTTTTTCTTCTTGAAGGTGCCTTATGGCACTATATAAACCCAAAACATCCCATCACGAAACATAATGAGTCATCCTTGCCCAATTACGGCATGTCATAGTGGCCACAAACAGTCATTGAAAATAATATATGGTGTCAAATTGAAACTTAAAGAGAAAATTTAGATGGGTACACTGTAATTGCACAGTTGAGATTTTGCCCCAGGTTCATCACATCAAAACCAGTCACTGGAAGATGTACCATGTGATCCTTAGCATTAGGTAAAAATGGAGGCTGCTGGCATATATACCACAGATAGTTTTCCTGGATGTGGGCCCTCTCTGTGGGGAGACTTGGGTTGGAACTGACTTGGGAGAAAAGAGCAAAGCATCAACACCTCTTCAAGTAGCACCTTGAGAATGTTCCCTTTCCAGTACTGCCATGCCTGCCTGGCTTCAAAACTACAAATGGAATAGAAAAGCAGATCAAACAAACCCAAACACTGATGGGCTCTGGAGGCGGCATGGCATAGATTTTTCTTTTGAGTTAGACTGGTTCCTGAAATCCACGTGTAACTCCTAACTTTGGGAGTTGGAAGATCTGTACTTTACCCCTGGCACGTTTGACATACCTCAAAGTAAAATTATTTTTACATATAATTTCACCATGTCTGCTATCATGAAGACAAGGACAGCTGAGGAAACTGTACTGTGGATATTTGCTGGGATACATCCGACCTTGAATAAATACGTTAAGTCCCCCATTTTCCTTCCCTGTATCAGATACCTAAAAAGCCTTTGTAGAAAGTAGCAGCAGCCAAGCTTAAGAGTGATACTTTTTCAGATACAGTACAGCACTGTTTCTGCAAGAGGTTACTCACATGAATATAATGTTTCTTGGGCTAATTAATCCGCCTCGAGAGCAGCGAGGCTAAAACTTCCAGGTCCCCCACCCGGACCACTCAAGCCAGGATCGGGACGTGAGCCTGGGGCGAGCCGAGGGGCATCCCGGGCCGAGGTCACCCGGACCGAAGTTACGAGGCGCGGGCCGGCAACCGGAAGTGGTCCAGGGAGAGTTGAACAAAATTCAGGGGCTGTAACTTGTAAACAGAACAAAATAAAATAAAGCCTTAACTGTCTTAGGACCGAATTTCAAAAGAGCGTCCCTCTGGCTCAAGAGGCCGGCGCGTGCGGCGAGGCCGCCTCAGAGGGCTGTCCCCGGAGCGTGTAGGCCGCGCACGGCTTCCTTCCGCGGGCGGGCAAAATGGGCGCGGGCCCTCGGAATGCGCCTGCCTGCCCGGCCGCCCCGGCGCCGCTCACAGACCACGTCGGCCTGCGGACCGAGAGCGCCGCCTCCCTGTCGCCCCCGCCGCCCGGCCTGACGCCCGGACCGTGGCCGGCCACCGCCCTCCACCCCCACGGCCACGCCTGCCCCAACCGGCGCGGGTGTTTCCCAGGTGTCGCCGGGCCGGCCCCGCCCCCGCGCCCCAAGCCCCGCCCCCGCGCGCCCGCAGCGCCCCGCCCGCGCAACCCAAGCCCCGCCCCCGCGGAACCCGCGCGCCGGAGCACCCGGTTGGCCAGGCCCGACTGGGCCCGAGGCGGACGTGAGCAGGGCTGGACCAAGATGGCGGTGCAGGTGGTGCAGGCGGTGCAGGCTGTCCACCTGGAGTCGGATGCTTTCCTAGTTTGTCTCAACCACGCTCTGAGCACTGAAAAGGAGGAGGTGATGGGGCTGTGTATAGGGGAGGTGAGTAGGTCAGTCAGTCCGGCCGGAACCCTGTTGAGCAGCCCCAGCGTGTCCCCGGGGTTGGTGCTGGCAGCGCCCGGGGCTGTGGACGCCACAGGCACCCCTGATTTATGCCGTTGGACGGAGCCTTTGGATGGTTCTGTCGCCGGGCCGCCTTTTCCTCTGGTCGCCTCACGCTAATTTAGCCTCCCGCAAGCCCCGAGTGGTCCTCGTTAAGCCTCCGGGTGGGCCTTATTTCTTCGCTTGTAGTGTGTAGCTTTGGACCTGGAGCTATCACGCCACTGACCAAAGCCGCAAGTCAGGCCAGAAAGGAATTACAGTATAATGAGGACAGCAGTGTATTAAGAAACAGCTGACCACGATTAAGGTCCCTTGCCCCGCCACCAGTGCTCGCTGTAGGAATCATTTGAAGCCTATCAAAGAACGTAAGAGGCGACAGGGTTTCAAAGACGCAAAAGTTTCTGCTGCGTTAAGTGTTGCAGAGGGACGAAAGACGATGAGGAAATTGACCCTAGTTGTTTACAATCCGAAGAGTTCTCGTCATTCGTTCCGGTGTACAGAAACACATGCCCTAATATTCATATAATCTGCATCCATGTACGTCAGTTAAGCGTAATGTGATCGATATTGTTTTCTGCTCTTTCCCACTCTAGTTGAATGATGACACAAGGTAAGACTATATTTGTTTACTTCTATCTTCCATCTCTATGTCATTAATTAAAAATTACGACAAGTGTGGCAATACTGTGTACGCTTATTTTAAGCTACAGTTAAAAGTCCAGACCTCCCTCAATGATACATTTTTAATTCCATCCCAACCCTGAAGGTAGGTTGCCACCTTCCTACTAGGAGGATTTTCAGTTGACATATGTATAATCTTATGTGAAAAATATTATTGGGGTTACCAAGATCAAGAGTGAGCATGTGAAAGCTCTGGTGAAGAGAATTTTGTAGACGGATATGGTGCAACTATTTTCCATGTTTTGCTTCACATGTTTTCTATCTCCCTTGAAATGATAATGAGATAGGGCTAATTTTCTTTGTGGCAGATGATTTCCACATTAAGAGACTCCCCCCGCACCCACGTTGACCCATTCATCCATCTAAATTGTCAGTGGCTTTCTGCCTCCCCCTGGTGGGCCCTACAATGACCTCAGAGATCCCCTGCAGCTTGAATGCTTGAGGTGGGAAAAGCTTTGCCTTTACCTTTATTTAAACTTGGAACCATAGCAGGGTGTTTATTTCTCAAGCCCACCTTCTTAATACTCAGGATTCTAGCAGTTTTGCACTCAGCCACTTCCACATGTGTTCCAGACTGCTGCTAACATGAATGAGCACAGCTCCAGCCTCAGTTTACTTTCCCTTCTCCTTTGTGTCTGATAAGGTTTCGTTGCAAAAACTTATAATCTTGTTATTTTGCTTTAGTACCTTTTTATATTCCAAACTTCAGTCCTTTTTTTCCTAATTTATCCCCAAAAGGAATGACTCCAAATTTACATATACCGGATCCGAAATGCGCACAGTTGCTGAAAAGGTACTTGTGCTACAATTTTGCATGATGGAAACTTGCAGTTTGGGAGGTATTTCTGTACTGTTTGATGATCTCAGCCAGGAATTAATCCAGTTTGTGCATGCCCACATTTGTGGCTGGGTGGGGTGTTCTCTATAGTAAAATCAGATAAAGAATCTACTACTCAGTAGGAATGAGACCTAGTTTTCTATTCTTTGTAGTAAGTTATTACTACTTGATCAAAATGAATAATCACTGTCAGCCCTCTTCCTTGCTGTCTTCTGCCTGTTTTCTGGCCCTTCTCCCACCTTCCTTGAGACTTTGGCTGGTTCATATCCTTGAGATTGGTTCACAGCAGTGTTCTCTTTATCCCAAGTCCCAATATCTACTCAGGCAAACTCTCTGTTACAGTCTTACAAGGAAACTTTCTTTAGTTCATGTTTGTTAGTCTACCTTGACTTTTCTCCTCTCTGTGGTTCCACCTGTCTTCCCCTCCTGCCGACATGACCTTTTCTGGCATGCTCTAGCCTTTATGGTCTAGTATAATGCTTCTCAACCTAATTATAGTGTAGGATCAGTTAATTTTTTCCCCAGTATGTTGCCAACCAATGCTAATTAGTATAAATTATCCCAACCTCCAGAACTTCATGCTCAACTGTTTTTACTGCACACCTAAGTTTAGCTAGACACAGGCATCTTAAACTAACATGTTCAAAACTGGACCTTTTCTCTTCCTCAAACTGGGTCCTCCAATATTCCTTCTGCCGCAATAGTTCCTAAGCCTGGCTGCATCTTGGAATTACTCAGTAATCTTTACAAAATCCTGATGCCAACTGGGTTGGTCTGGGGAGAGACCTGGGTGACAGGATTTTGAGAACCTTCCAACTACTGCTATCGTATTTGAGGTCCTTATCGCTCCTTCTCTCAAATACTGCACAGGCCTCCCCACTGGTCTCCTTGCCTTGAGTCTGTCCCCTGTAGTCCTTTCTTCGTACTGCTTAAAGTTCAGTGTGTTTCCTATTACCTTTAGGATGGAGCTTCATTTGTTAAGCATTCATGGCCCTCCAGGATCTCATTTCTTTTTATCTCCTTATATTTCTTCACTTGGATCCAAAGTTCTAACCATGGTAAATTATATCCTGGTACCTGCTGGGTATTATGCCTAGACTGCCTTCCTCTCCTCCTCTGCATGGCTAACTCCTTATCCCCTGCAGTTCAGCCCAGGTGCCACCTGCCTCCTTTAAGGAACCTGCCTTGACCTGCAGGCCAGGCCACCTCTGTGCTACACTAGCTCCTTGAGCATATCTATTACAGTGCTTATATATTGTCTGAGAGTTGTTTACCTATCTGTCTTCCTGGATGTGACTGCTGTTTCCTGTTTATCTTTACATACTTAGGCCCTCAGGTAGTGCCTCGAATGTCATACGTATTTGATAAATCATGCTGTATGAATGAACATACAGCCCCTACAATAGGAAATGAGTGTTAACTGCCTGTGACCCATGGAGAGCCATGCCAGGGATGCAAATTTTCTTCAAAGGGCCAGATGGTAAATATTTTTGCAGACCATACAGTCCTTGTTGCAGTTACTCAGCTCTGCCACTGTAGTACAAAAGCAGCTAAACACATATATGAATAAACGTGGTTAGATTTGGCCAAAGTCAGGCCAAGCAGACCATAGTTTGCTGACCCTTGATTTATACCAAGATGGGAGCAAAAGGAACTGGGTTTTAGTACTTAAATTCCAAGACCAGCAAGGTGTAGGTGCCAGTCTAGCCAAGCTGGACTGTCTCATTTCTTATGTGACTATGACTGTAACAGTCTGTTCCTCAAGCCCTTCAGCTGCCCATCAGTCCTCCGTGGCCTTTGCTTACGCTGCTTTTATTTCGTTTGTTAACCTGTTCCTGGGCTTGTCTTGCCCACTTACCCTGAACTTCTTTTGCTCATTCTTCTGAGGCACTGAAACCATTTCCGACTAGAGAGAAAATTCACCCTGGACATCAAGTCCTACTAAAGTAGATCCCCAATCTTAATGATGTAATTTTGTTTTCCAGAAGTCCATGCCCTCATCTTGAATTCAGTATCAATTCGTACCATCCAAACGAAATATTCAACTTCATGAGTTCAGTGGTCTTATTTTTTTATTAAGCATTGGCGTGGCATATCTTTTTCTTAACTTTTATTTTTAGCCTTCCTGTGTACTAATATTTAAAGTATGTCTCTTATTAGCATATTTTTTAAAAATTCAGTCTAATAATCTTTTTAACTGGAGTATTTAGTCAAAGTATGTTGAATGTTGTTATTAATATATATGGCTTATAGGTGCCATGTTTTTACTTTCTATTTGACCTATTTGTTTTAGGTTTTTCTCTGCTTTCTTGCCTTCTTTTGAATTAATCAAGTATGTTTTATTCCACTTTGATCCTCCATTAATTAGTTAAAACATTCTTTTACTGTCCTTTTAGTGGTTATCCTACATATTACAATATGCATCTTGATTGGCTAGCTAATAAAAATACTAATTTTATCATTTTCCTGATATTAGAACCTTAGAACGCTTCAGTTTCATTTATACCCTCCCACATATAATTATTATGCATTTTAATTCTATGGATATTTTAAGCCCCACATGACATTGTTACTACTGTTTTGTACAGTTAGAACTCATTTGTATTTACTCACATGTATTCTTCATTTCTTCCTTCATATCTGAAATACTCCTGCCTGAAGAACTCTCTTTAGTATTTCTGTGCTGATAATGAATTCTCTCAATTTTTTGCATCTGAAAATGTCTTTATTCTGCCTTCATTTCTGAAGAACATGCTCTTTGAATATAGAATTCTCAGTTGGTAGATCTTTCCTTTTTGCACTCAAACATGTCACTCCATTCTCCGTAGGCTTTCATTGTTTCTGTTGAAACGTAACTAAAACATGTGCCTTGCCCTCAGTTCTTTGTAGAATAAGCAGGGAATTCAAAGGCTGTGGAAGAGTTCACCAGGTGAAAAAAGGCATGAAAAGGGGCACTTTTTTTTAAAAGTATCATTGATGTACAATCTATGTTGGTTTCAAATGTACAACACAGTCATTCACCAGTTACCCGTATTATTAAATCCTCACCCCCTCTAGTGTGGTTACTAACTGTCAGCATAGGAAGACGTTACAGAATCATTGACTGTATCCTCCATGCTGCACTCCTGTGCCCGTGACCAACTTACATTGTGATTGTGAATTAGTGTACAAAAGGGGAGCACGTTTCATGCTCAATAGCCACATGTGCCCAATGGCCACTGTATTGCACAATGTTGGTCTATACCTTACTTCCAAAGTCTCCACCCAGATTTCAGCCTTGTTTCTGCAGCATCTGGCAATGCCACACCTATCTTTTCCCTTGAAAACTCTTCAGCTGTCTCATTGTTCTGGTTTTGATTTCTCTGTCTTCATTTCTGCCTCCACTTATTGTACCCAATCCTAAACATGGGTACCCATCTTGATTCAGGCCTGGACCCCTGCCCCCTCTCCTCACCTTACTCCTTGCCTTTACTTACATCCTCTCTTCTCAGATCAGCTCATCTGAAAACATGCTCATCTTTCTTCCTTTCCTGATCCTTTCTAATTTAGATCTTTCTCCCATGTTCCACCGAGTTTCAGCCCTGAAACTATAGAGTCATCCTTGACAATTTCCTGTCCTCTATCACCCATGGTGCATAAGCTCCACTTTATCATTACTTCATGTCCAGGCAATCTAAAATAATATCCTTCCAGGTCATCCTGCAGATCATGGCATTTGAAGCCTTGTACATTTCACTCTAACCTTAGCTTACTGTCTGCCATTCTACCTCAAGTTCTATATGTAAATCAGTTGGCCAGCTTGTCTCCCAAACATCTCACTCACATCCATTTGGCATCTATAGAAATTGTGTCTGCACACATACATACACACAGCAGTCAGGAAATAGATACCCTTGTTTACCTTTTCTATGAAGATTTTTTTTCCTAATCTGACTCCTTTCCTCTGAGCTTCTGCAGCATTGATTTGCTACATATTTTGATGTAGTTTCATGTATGGTATTTGCTGCTTAGCCAAACTGTTAGCATTTTGAACACTTGGATTGTCAGCACTCTGACTTGTATTCTTTTGTGTGACAGGGTCTTACACATAGTTATAAGTCAAATGATCATTAGTTGAGCATTCAGAAAGTCCTTTCTTTATCTAAATAACAGCCTTTATACTTTTGTTCTGAAGTGTATATATTGAGGTTGGATGTGTTTTATTTGAAACATTCCATTATTCATGAGAAAAATGTTCGTTTTCTGAAATGGAATCTCTAACCTGATAATGTAATACAATGCAATTCTGTAATTGCAGGGAGAGATATCATTGGAGAGAGACAGAAGTAAACATTTCTGTGGATTTTTCTTTAGGTTGACACTGTCAGAATTGTTCACATTCATTCTGTCATCATCTTGCGACGCTCTGATAAGAGGAAGGATCGAGTGGAAATTTCTCCAGAGCAGCTGTCTGCGGCCTCAACAGAGGCGGAAATATCCTTATTGGTTGATAAGAAGCTTTTATGGGCTCTGGGACTTGCCGGCCAGGTTCCCCTGTTTGCTGCCTTAGCCTGATTGACGAGATTCACAGCTTTTCTTCCTGGTGACTTTTTCCCAGTTTTCATATTTACCCCTCAGATCCAATTGCTTGTTTAATCAGAGTTTCTCTGTATTTTTCCTTTTGAGTGGCTTTTATTGGAAGAATTGGAAATTTCTAACTTTTCTGTTCTTAAATGCCAGAAAATCCTGGGGTCAAATCCAGTGAAAATGAACTCTGTTCAGGGGAGTCCCCTTTTTCTCTCTACTCCCCCTGTCCAGTCTGCTTAACGCCCACTCCCCAGTTTCCCAAATATTTACTTTCTAGGCCTTTTACTATCTTGGTCTCTGTCCTTTGGAAAGATTCTCTTTGGAGGCTGCCACAAAAAAATGCAGTGCTGAGACCTGAATGCAATATTCCATGAGAAATATAAGCAAAGTGATAAAATGGGACATTTGCTTCCTGTGATGTGGATCCCACACCTCAGCTATAGCATCAGTGGTTTTAGTAGCTTATCATTCCTTTGGATTAAGTTAACTTGTAGTCGGTTAAAAAGTAACTTTTAAAAATAGGTAGTACACAAATTTTAAAAGGTACAAAAAGGTATGCCCTAATTCCCTTGTGGTCTGTGCCTGGGCATTACCGGAGTTGCACACAGAAATATATATGAATATACTCTTTTAAAAAAAGTACTTAACACATATGATAGCTTATGGCATTACCTAACAGTGTACACATTGCTACAGAGTAAACTGATATAACAGCTATAGGTACAGGTACATATAAACTTTGCTCAGCAATTACACCTATAGGAAGGAATTGAACCCTACAGATACACACGTATTTGTAAAATGCAGTAGATCAGAGGTTTTGCTTTTAATTTTTAAGTTATTTGTATTTTTCTCTGAATTATCTGGTTATTTCTTTTTGCCCATTTCCTCTTGATTTGGAAATATTTTTCTTAATATATAGGCATTCTGTAAGTTAATTAGGCTTTTGTAATAAGGATAGTGATTTTTCTCAGCTCATTCATGGTGTGTGTGTGTTTTTCTAATCAAATTGTTATATAATTTGATGTCTCAGTCTCTCTTGTATCTTTTTAGAAACTTTAATTTGAAATAATTAAAGATTCATGGGAAGTTGTAAAAATAGCATAGAAAGGTCTTTGTACCCTTCATACCCAGTTTCCTATGAAGGTTACGTCCTATGTAATTGACAGTACAGTATGGAAACCAGAAAATTGACATTGATACAGGATGTGTCATTCTGTGCCATTTTGTCACCTGTAAATCTATATAACCACCACAACAGTCATGCTCCCCCTGCATAGTCACATCCATACCCTCAACTCATACCCCCTTCCAAACTCCTGGCAGCCACTAATCTGTTTTCTATCTCTTTACTGTTGTCATTTCAAAAATGTTTGCTAAGTGGAACCCTATAGTATGTAACCTCTGGAGACTGACTTTTTCCACTGTGCTCCTCCCCCCATTCCTACCCCGGCAGCCACTAATCTGTTCTCCATCTCATTGTGGTTTGGATTTTCCTGCTTCTCTGCATGCCTGGTAATTTTAGTTTGGATGCCGGGCTTTATGATTTCACCTTGGGTGCTGGATATTTTTGCAGCCCTGAGCATACTCCCAGGCTCTGTTCTGGGATGCCGTAAAGTCACCTGGGGACAGCTGGGTCCTTTTGAGTGTTGCTTTGAAGATCTGCTGCGGGGGACTGGAGCAGCTTTTGGTGTAGGAGTCCCCTTTTCTCCACGCTACTGGGGAAGACCCTCCTGAGCAGCCTGCCTGTTGCCTCCTGAATTCTGAGCTTTGCCCTTCTGGCCGGTGGGGACCGCCGCCAGTCCCTGTCCTGCTTGAGCACTGGCAGGGCGTAGTTCCTTTTCATCCTTCCGGGTGGCCCCTCCCCTGAAGCCTGGAGCAGCTTCCCCACTTGGAAGCCTGCTCTGGTCAGTGGCTACCTGCGTGCTCCAGCGGGACCCTCTGGATAGGCAGGGGTCTCTCCCTCTGCTGTTCTCCTGGTCTCTGTTCCTTTGCCTCAACGACTCCAGCTGCCTGGATCCTCTGATCCATCTCCTAGACTCAGGGCATCTGCTGGGCTCTGCTTCAATTCCCCTTCTTCCTCTGTGGCCTGCAAGTTCTCTCAAGGGCTCACCTTGTTTGTTTCCCATGTACTGGCCTTCCTGTTTCATATATATATCGTTCTGTTTGTTTCAGGCAGACGGATAAGTCCAGTCCCTGTTACTCTCTGTTAGCCAAAATAAAATTCCCAGAACATAATTGTATCAAAGCTGTTTATTATTGTGATTATATATTAAAACTTCAAACTGAAACTAGTCCATTCCCAGAATGGGAGGATGGCTGGACATACTGTGGAATGTTACCACACTTTGACATTACAGCGACTCTTAAGGATTTACTAGGTGCCAGGTGCCATGCTGAACACCGTGTGTGGGTTAACCTCATTTACTCTTCACTGCTGCGTGAAGTGGAATTCTCCTCAATGTACAGATGAAGAAATGGGCTTAGATAAGTAACTGCATTTGAAAATACAAAAATATTCAAAAAGTATTTCTCTTAGCTGTATAGAAAGGATTATTGTGTTTTGATGTAAGTAATTTACAGGAAAATGAGTCAGCATGTGATGATAGGATAGCAGCGGCACTCTTCAGTGAGTGGCAGCAGAAGGGGGCAGCTTCTTACCTCCAACTTAATTCTCATTTCAACTCAGAGCCTCAGAGTTATGGGAAACTTACTTCTAGAACAAGGGAGGAAAATGTTATTTTGGGGTATGTTTCTAGACAAATGGGGGATGAAACTGGAGGTCTGTGTTCACTTGATCTCTGAAACCACCCTAATTTTTGTTGACATTGGCAGCCTGCCAGGGAGAAATTAAATGCATTTTTAAATCTTTTATTTCTTTGGCAAAAATGGTAGTATGATAGAGCTAAAGCGAGGACAGATCACTCAACTTAACGATATGAGTGACTGCCAAAAGATTTAGATAAGCTTTTCAGATAGCACAGTTATAATTTGATTAATCAAATATTAGCTAAATTGGATTGAGGCTGAAGCAAATGGATTCTATTTTTGTTGACATTAAATTGTAATAGGTTTATTTTAAACCTCAGGATGCTTTCCAAGCCCTTATTAGTATCATACATTTTGTTCCCATAAGTTGAAAATGCCTTGACAGACACACAGGTTGGCTGAACTAACAGGCCGCCCCATGAGAGTTGTGGGCTGGTATCACTCTCATCCTCATATAACTGTTTGGCCCTCACATGTTGGTAAGTATTATGGGGTAGCAATGTTTCTTGTTCTTAGAAATGATTATCATTTTTCCTTCTCCATTACATAGGCTATGGTTATTTTAAAACCAAACTTTATCCTTAAACAGGTGTCCTTATTTTTATTTTGCTATGTTTTAAAAGTAATGATCTATGTCATATAGATTGTTTTTAATAGGGATGAAATTTCAGGACTCCATCCTGACTGTATTCATGAAACCACAACTAACTAAATCCTGAAAATTGGCAGATATCCAAAAATATTTTTAAACTTAAAATTATCGATTCTTGAATACCACTGTCTAATACACTCCCACTTAAAAGACACAAAGGTGTCAAGGCTGAACTTTTCAAAATTGATGTTTACAGTCTCGGTATAGTATATATGCCATCATAGCTGTTGAGGTGCTCAACCCACCTGCCCTAAATCCATCTTTCCCAGCCTGGCCTACCATAGCAATATTGGAAAGTGGGTCCTACGTGGGTATATTGTGAAAAACCTCCTCCAAGATTTATCATGCAGAGCCCCAGTTACATAGTGATTTAGAATTAGAGAGAGAGTAGGCTGACAGAAATGAACTTGACCTGCTGTAACATAATAGTGGCATGCCTAAGACATCGTGTATTAACAAAAAATGCACTATCAAAACAGGTTTTTCAATGGAAAAGAAAAAAATTGAAGCTAGAACTTACAATAAAAAGGAGTCTTAAACTTTTATTTTCATATAATTTCAGACTTAAAGTTGATAAAGTAGTAGAAAAATTCCTTAACACTCTCTCCCCTTCACTGATCTTCCAAATGTTAATGTTTTGCAGCATTTGATGTGCCATTCATTCTTACACATGTGGGTGTGTGAGTAAAATTTTTTTCCTGAAGTTTTCTGAGAGTAAGTTGCAGACACTAGTCCCCTTTACTTCTAAATACTCTTTAGTGTAAATTTCCTAAACACAAAGATTATTCTCTTACATAATCATATTACCTTTATCAAAATCAAAAATTAACATTGATATAATACTCTTCTTTAAATTACTGACCTTACAGTATAACACAGAGAAGACAAGTAGTGATTCTATAGCATCTTACTATGCTGATGCACAGTGACTGTAATGGGGTATGTTGTGGGGACTTGATAATCGGGGGAGTCTAGTAACCAATAATGTTGCTATGTAATTATACATTAATGATACCAAAATAAAAAAATTAAATAAATTGCTGACCTTATTCAAATTTAGTTGGCTCACCAGTGTCCCAATAAAGACTTTTTATAGCTATAACTGTGTTCCTGAAAATCTTAATATCACTGAATAAATTCAGTGTTTGATTGTATCTTTTACTCAAAAATAATAGCTGTTGTTTTCCTGTCACCATACACGTAAAATCAGATTGGCCTCAGATTTCTCCCATGGTAGTGCCATCAGCCGGAAGGAAGGAAGTACCAACCACTAATGAAAGCTAAGTTGGAGCATATGTTCCTGAACAGTTACTGGCATTATGGTAATAAGTTAGAATGGAAGTGATATAAAATTTTGTGGTTAAAAAAGAAATTCCCTAAGAGTTTAGGGGGAAAAAACCTTATCATTTTCTGAAATGGAATAGCCAAAAAGTGTTGAGAATTCAGAGAATGATTGAATTTTCTTCTCTGTGCCATAGTTTCCTCTCTGACAGAAAAGGAGAACTTATTAGTAGTCTCAGAGTTGGGTGCAATATATGAAATTATGTGTATGGCATTTTGTCCCATGCTTATCACAATACCAAAAATAGATACCAAAACATTTATCTATAAAACTCTTGAAGACACACAGAAAGCATGATTAAATATCTGAAGTTGAAGGGCAGACAGCATTCTAAAGATTAATAAGAATACATTGGGTCTCTCAACTGAGATATCAAAATTTGTGGTAAGAAAACTGTGGGTAGAACTAAAGGAAAATGTGTCCCAACTAAGCTGGTGTTCACGATGGATAGATCGTTGTGGATTTCCAAAGCCTATGGGAATTTGTAGACGCAAAGATACAACTCATTTCCAAACAGCCTTCAGAATGGAGTCAAATGGGCCCTATATTACATGCCTTCAGAAGAAAAATGAGTGATGAATAAAAACAGGTTGTTTTGAAGTAAGTACAGTAAGTATTTTTAAAAGCAGAAGATTTCCAGGCTATGGTAAACTTACAGGCTTATGGAAACTTACACTAAAGAGTATTTAGAAGTAAAGGGGACTAGTGTCTGCAACTTACTCTCAGACAAGTAAGGAGTGAAATTTTTTTTTTCCATTAAAAGAAAGGGAGGGAGGGAGATGGATGTGACAGTGGTGTGTTTGTGTAACAAGAATTTTAATGCTTTTTATGAGAAAGTATGTGAACAAAGGCAAGGGCAACAATAGGTTGAACACACACTAAGACTTTAAGACTTGATTTTAAAAGAATTTCAGAAAAGTTGCCAGAATAGTATAAAGACCCAGATTAAGTGATAAGCTTTTGTTAACACACCTACACATACGTGCCCTTTGAGAGTGAGTTGTAGATGTGATGCTCCTTTACCCCTAAATATTTCATGGTGTACTTCTCAAGAGGCAAGGACAGTCACTTCCATAACCACAGTGCAGTTATCAAAATCAGGGAATTGACAGTGATATAATACTGTTAGGTAATACTTTCATTCAAATTTTGCACTGATTCCAATTCTGTCCTTTCTAGCATTTTTCTTTTTCCAGTCCAGGATCCAGTCTCAGATCATGCATGGCATTTAGTCTCATGTCATTTGAATCTCAGTCTTGGCTGGTTCCTCGGCCTTTTTCTCATTCCCAAACCTTTACAGCCAAACTCATTTATACTTTCTCACTCCTCTCTGGTCAGGCTTCTAGCCCATCACCCTATTGAAGTGGATCTTGCTAAATTCATCAGTGCCATTGAAAGGGTATCTCACTGCGACCCTCCTTACCCAGAACGACTCAGGAGACATGGCCCACGCAGGAGATTTTATTGTCTGAAAGAGAAAGTGACTGCCCAGAGAGAGAGAGAGCAGCAGTGCGATGCAGAGCGCTGTGCCTTTTGTAGGGGCGGAGTGGAAAAGTACCCCTTGGCCTGTTGCCTTGGGGGCGGGTCGGAATGTTTAGAGATAAGGCGAGGCAAGTCCAGGCATGATTTTCACCAGCTTATGTGCTTGGGACCATGGGGTAAATGGAGGATAAATTACTATATTCTTATAGCCATCCATGTTGAAAACATTTTAGGTCTCCATCTTCTGTAGCATTTGACACTACAGTTACTTTCTATTTCTTGCACCACCCAACTGATCATGATGAGTACATGGCTGTTAAGGGAAGAAACTACGCTGAGACTCGGAGTTGAAATTCCTTGTCAAAAACCAAATAGCTAGTAAGTGTCAGAGTTAGTACCTGATGCGAGCTTCATATGAATCAGGGGCATGGGCATTCTGTAGCATCTTGCTTTGACTGGTTAAGTGGGAATGCTATTTATAAAAACAGAAAATGGAGGAGGAAGTGTGGGTTTGGTGGTGGGGAAACAGAGAGCATTGAGTTACATCACACCTACATAATTTACTTAGCCAAACTTTAGATAAAGGGTTTGCAGGAGAAAAAGGGAAGTGATTTAAATAGTGCAGGCTATTTTGTAAATCCCATGAGACTTGGCATTGTTGTTATTATATTCACTTCATTGTCTTTGTTAAGTGCACATTAAAAGGAGAAATGTACCTGTAGCTGTATTTCTCATTTTAAGGTCTACTCATTTCTTTTAGACAAAGGTGGGTAACTAGCATTGCTACAGTGATGTCATTGTGACTTAATTTATTACCAAAGTTGGTGGGTCAAATCAACCTCCCATAACAAATATAGGCTACAACTTTGATTAAGCAGTTTTCTACAACCAATCATTTTAACAAATTACATTTTCCAAACAAGCATTCTGTTCTAGAGGTTGCAAGTCACTGCTCCTTAGAATCACTGTAAACAGGTTTTTGATATCACAGTACACTTCTTCTATGCCCTTCTTAGCAAACAGACTTAGATGGAAACTACTACAAGGTGTAGAATGAGTGAAGGCAAGAACTGAAGTTTTATTGTAATGTCTGTCTCAGGGTTTGTACTCTCAAAACACTTGTGTTGTTTCCCATTCTTTTAAAAATTATTACCAACTGGGGCCTGTGGTTTCTGTTTCAGGAAAATTTTTAGTCAAGAGTAAATGAAAATATGGTACTTAGACTATTCCTCTTTCACAGCAGAAAATGGGAAGTGTGAGTCTTTTGTCCCTTGAGACTGTTTCATTGTCCTGTATCTCTCATAAATGTGAACATCTCTCAAGATGTCTCTAATGTTTACAAATATATGCTTTTCATATAATGTGGCCCGTAAATGCAGAAAAACTACGTCACATGGTATTCAACTGAAGAAATAATGATACGTTCAAATGCTGGAAGGAAAATTGGACAGCACAGTCACAGAAAGTTCTCGTGGATGGTACTAATGTGAACTAAACTGTGTCTTGGATTTGGTATTTTGGAGGTGATTAGGAGTGAGTAAGTTATCTGAGGGAAAGAAATGTAAAGCAGGGTAAGGTGTATAGGGACTGCCAGTGGGGTGGGGCTGGGGTTTCCATTTTAAATAACATGATTAGGCCTCATAGAGAAGGTAACAGTTGAGCAAAAGCCTGAAGGAAGTGAGGGAGTTGACATTGCAAATATCTGGGGTAAGACCATTCCAGGAAGAAAGGAACAGCCAGTGCAAAGGCCCAGAGGAGGAGCATGCCTGGAGTGTATGAGGAAAAGCAAGTCTAATATATTCACTTCCCTAGAAACTGTCTATCAAAGGCTTATTCGAGGAAATCTTTTTGTCTTCTTCCAATGCCTGCCTTTGTCTTTGAGATTTCCTGAAGAAATCAAGTTTTTTGGGGCTAACTGAAATTTTCCATTTTTCTTTTTCTGTGCTACATTTCATAGCAGGGCTAGTCCTGGGCTAGGCAGCTTATGTTATCAATGAGTTTTCTTATTTAATTTTATGGCTCCCATAGTATTTCCCTAACCTAATAAAATATTTACGTTTTGACAATCATATTGTCCCTGGGATGTATCCCTGTTCTGCCTGTAGAATCTGAATCCTGGGAGTGTTGTATGCCACTATTATCTTTAAATCTTCATGTCTGTGAGACATAATTTATTGACATTATATTTTTGTTTTTGTTTATTTGCAGATGTTCGCACACAAGCCATGTACCAGATGATGGATCAAGGCTTTGTAGGGCTTATTTTCTCCTGTTTCATAGAAGATAAAAACACAAAGGTATTGTGCGTGTACACACACACACAGAATAGAGAAAAATCTTTTTGCAATTTTAATAGGGTGGCCAGGGAAGGTTTCAGTGAGAAGGGTCATTGAGTCAGAACCTGAAGAAAGTGAGGGAGCAAGTCTTGTGGTTCTTGGGGGAAGAGTGTTCCAGGCAGAGGAAATAGCCAGTGCAAAGACCCTGAGGTGAGTGTGGCATGTTCAGGGGACATTGAGGAAGTCAGTGTGGCTGCAGCAGAGTGAGGAAGACTTTGACCATATGTCCCAGTTTGCCTCTGCCAGTCCCAGTTTGACCCCATTATCCCTGTTTCCTGTTCAGTTAGCACCTCTCCTTGGAAGTATACTTAATTGGGCGTTAACTCATCTGATCATCTAACAGTGAGGTCTGAAACATAACTGGGAGCCAGATCTTAAATTCCTTGGCTTCGACTCTGAGTTGGAAAGTGCCTAGGGGGAGACTTTATGTTTTAATGGGATCTCTGGTTACTCTGTTGATAATAGACTGGACAAGGGGTGGGGGTGGATTCCTGGGGAGGGAGGGGTTATGGAATCCATGGCATCCATGAAACCAGTTAGGAAAATACTGCCGTAATCTAGGCAAGAGATCATGGAGGTTTGACCGCAGTGGTGGGAGTGGAGGCAGTGTAAAGCGACCGGAGTCTGCATATGATTTATTGGCTGCATATATTTATTTATATGCATATATTTGTTTATTATTTTCTGCATGCATTTAATAATAATAACAAATGCTACCATGTATCACCTATTGTGTGACACCTACTTATTGAGTGTTTTGCGTAAGTATGCTCTAACCCTAACAACAAGGCTGTGAGATTATTATTATCCATATTTTATGGATGAAGAAACTGAAGCTCAGAGAAGTAAAGCAGCTTGATCAAAGGCCAGTCTCGTCATTCTCTGTTTACTGTTTCTGTTTGAATTTTATGTTCATATCTATAGGTTTATGCATCAGTTTGAACAAAAAGAAAATTATTATGTAACATTGTAGTTTGAATTTTGCCAATGCTATCAAATGTGTTCTATCATTTCGTACATTATTATAGTCTCAGAATCTATTACTAATGAATATTATTCATAAAAGTACTCTTTTCCAGACACATTAAAGTTCAGTATCTTGAACTTTATACTTCATTTAAAATGCTTTCAGCTTTGTCATCATGAATTTATTGACTGTCATTATATATAGTTGTCAAGTAATTTTTTCAGCTTCCCACAAAGCAGTTTGGATGCTCTGGTTCTTAGTTTCTTTCCTCGCCCTCATGTTCATGAGCAGTTCTCTGCGGTCACATGAGTAGATCTTTGATCGTGGCTCTCATGTTGACTGACAGTATGATTCTTCTTATAAAAACAGATTTACGGCATAGTCTTTCTTTGGAGTGTCTTTTAACCTTCCACTTTTTGAGGGGCCTTTGATGATTTGTGTAAGGATATGAGTTTTAGGTTAGAGTTTACTAAATCGCTAGACCTTTTTCAATATTAATCCTTCTCTGTGTGACATTTCTTTCTTTCTGTCTTTCTTTCTTTCTTTCTTTTTATTTTTTGTAGACTGGCCGGGTACTCTACACTTGCTTTCAATCCATACAGGCCCAAAAGAGCTCAGAGTAAGTATGCCAGAGACACATGTATGTGTTGGTGGGATGATCTCCAGTCCAGAGAGTTGATTGTTGGTTTCATTTTTATTTCTCTTACTGGTAAGACCCCAAGCAGTTGATAGTCTGCTTATACCCATTAACATCTGTGAGGAGTTAGAAACTTTTTAGCATCTTGGATATTGGGGATCTAGAAAGCTAGGATCATATTAGCAGTCTGTTCATCACAATTATATCACCAGAACCCTGTCCCACATTTCCTTTCCTGCAGTTGTTCTAAACTGAGTTATACTATTACTTTCCCTCTCCCTTGCTCTGGTGAATTAGGAATTAAAAGACTGAGTATGCAGAGTATTAAAGATTTGTATAGACTCTTATCTTTGCTGTGCCATAAATTTGATTTCAGAATTACACTATCTCATTTAAGTGTTTGCATAAGTTAGTTTCCTCATTTAAATTTAACTTGACATGAATTAGCAAATCTTAATTCAGTATCTACTATATGCCAAGCACCATGGTAGGCACTGAGGATGCAGCAATGAAAGCCAAGTTCATTTCCTAATTGGGAAACAGAAGCACACTGTCTTAAATTTTCTCTTATCATATTTGTCAGTTTATTATTATAGCATTGTTTGGAATAGCAAAAAAACTGGAAAAAAATAGATGTCTGTCAGTACAGAACTGATTAAATTATGATACATCCAAATAATGGAATAATATACAGCTATTAAAGAATATGAGGAAGCTCAGTAGTAATACAGAAATATCTACCAGATACATTGTTAAATTAAAAAGCAAAGTACAAGATAGTATGTTTAGCATGCTACCATTTGTGTAAGGATATGGAAGAGAAATATATACATGAAGACATCAGTATACTTGCTTGTAAATATAGAATATCTGGAAGGAAACACATTGGTCACCTCAGCAGAGAACAAGTGGGAATGTAGAGACTTCATTGTATCCTTTCATAGCTCTGGGATGTTGAACCATGCAAAAGTGTTGCTTAGTCAAAAAACTTTAATTTCTAAAATTTTCATGAAAGTTATAGATATATGTGTATAAAAATGTCAAATGGTACAGAAGAACTTGTAAAAGTCTCACTCCTCAGAGGGAACCACTTCTTTATCCTAATTTTTAGTTCTTCTGATGTGTACTTTCATATTCCTAAATAATATATGTTTGATATTCTTTCTTGATATACTAATTTTAGATATTGTCTATTATTATTCTTATAGTTATCTTGCTCTTACAAATGAGGGTTATACTCATTTACCCTGCCCCATCTCCATTCTCCCTAATGTAATTATATTACTACTTTTCATTCTTCTGTTTGTTACTTTTCTAATTTTAAATAGAATTTTCCCCTTTATTTATCCTGTCCACAACAGATAATAGTATCTTTTGGCTCCATGCTGTTACTTGTAGTTTTACCATAAAGCTTTATGTCTTCACAGTTGCAAACATCTTTGTTCTATGTTTAACCATGATTGTTTTCTGTGCTTTGTCTACTAGTTGATTCTAAGAGTAGAAAATAAAATGTTTATATTATTATGATTATGTAAATACTTTTCTGTGTATAACCAAGCAGTGTAAGGTATTGTATTACAATTCCATTTTCTTTCTTATATAACCTTTTGGTTTTTTCATGCAGTTTTGAGTGGCTTTCCCCCCTTATTTTTCTGCCTTTACCACCTGAGTTCCAAATTCTTATGAGTAATATAAAAACTTTTGGAATCCCTGCTTTTCCTAGGATAGCTCCCTGAGTACCTCCGTATTCCTACCCTAATCTGGTCTCAGCTGGCATCCTGGGACTTTCCTTCATTATTCTCTTGAGTTGGATCTATTGTCTGGATTTCATGTCATCTTTCTTGGTTTACTCTGTCATTTTGCTGTTAAAGACTCTCTAGTAACTTCCTAACCTAAGAAAGGTGTACATAAGAGGTAAACCTTCTGAGTTCTTGTCTGAAAAATGTTTTTATTCTTCAGTAATACTGCTAATAGATAAAGAATTCTAAATTAACATTTTCCCCCCTTAGAACTTTAAAGGCATTGTTTCATTGTCTTTAAATATTCAGTGTTACTGATGAAAAGTCTTACCAGTTCAATACTTATTCTTTTGTAGGGGACTTTTTTCCATCCTGACAGCTTTTAGGAACTTCTCTATTCTTGATATGAAATTTTCCATGATATATCTAGATATGGATATTCTGTGATTCAAACTGCTGGATCATATCGATCAGACAGCACTTGTCCTTCAGCTCTGTGAAGTTCTCTGCTATTGTTTTCTTTTTTATCCTCAGATAAAGCAATCCATAACATACCCACTTCCTGGGTAGAGAAAATCTTATTTATAATTCAGTCCAATCCCATCATTTAAAGCTTCTTCAAGTTTAAGTCAGTCTTTGGAGGATAATTTCTCTTCTTTTAATTTCTTTCTTTTCTCCTCATGTTTGACTGTAAGACAGCATCTGAAGTATTGGGGAGATGACATAAGTGAACCTAGGCCATAGGGAAAGGAGGCATCATGGTCTCAGACTGGTTTTGGGAATCAGGGCAGGAGTCTTTCCATTCGTGTATCTTGCTCTGGGATACCAATCTTAACAGTTGCTGCCATATTTCTTCCCAGACAGTTTATGCTATTAGGAGAACTGGTTTCTAAATGTTCTGTGTATACAGAGGCCCAATTGTGGAAGAGCACAAAAGAGGAAGAACTAGAGTCCCATGTTTCTGGCAGAACCTCCAGGAAACCATGTAAAGGAAGGAGTGTGATAAAGCAGCTTCGTGAAGTTGCTTATATAAATTTCTGGGCTCCCTCTTGAGCCATATTGCATGGCTCAGATCCCAGTTAGCATAATTAAGAATTGAATTAACTGGTAGACCACCATATGTGTTGTATACTGACCACTGGGTAGCATACATTCAGGAAAGATCTGAAGAGCAGTACAAAGGCTCTGAAAATAGAAGTGACATTGGAAGTCAGAAGTTGTTAGTTAGAAGTTAGTTGGTTGTTAGAAGTTTCAACCTGAACTTTACTAGGCAGATTGATCGGTAAAACAACAGTCTTCATAGAATATAAATAAGACCCAGTATATATAAACATAATACTCAAAATACTCAGGATGCAATTCAAAATTGCTTGGCATGTGAAGAACCACAAAAATTTCAACTTACATGAAAAAGGATAATCAACAGATGCCTACACTGAGATGATAGTAATGTAGAAATAATCTGATAAAGGCCTTGAATCAACTATTGCAAAAATGTTTTTAAAAGTCACAAATACTTTTGCAACAAATGTTTCAGTAGAAAGTCTCAGCAAACAAATGCAAGACATAAAGAACCAAGTGCAAACTTTAGAACTGAAAAACACACTTACTGAAATACAAGACCTGTTGGGTTGTTAACAGAATCGTTATATTACCTTGATAACAGAATGGAGATGACAGAGGAAAGAGTAAACTTTGATCATAAATCAGTAGAAATTATCCAGTCTGAGTAAGAGAGAAAAAATATTGACTAAAACAGTGAATAGAGTAAAAAAGTCAAAAGTCATCCTCTACAAAAACAGTGAATAATCTGGCACAAACTGTCAGAATCAAATTCATTGAATTCTAGAAATTAATCAAAACTTTATAGCAACCAGGCAAATGCTTACTCAAGACAAAACACCAGACTCTCAGCATTTAAGGAAGTGTTTGTTCTGTCACTGGATGGCCACCGAGCTAACAGGACAGAGACCTCAGTGGCCACACATAGCAAAGAATATAGACTATAAAAAGTTACTTGAGGCCAGGCAGAGAAAGACAAGTACCAAATGATGTCACTCATTTGTGGAGTATAAGAACAAAGTAAAACTGAAGGAACAAAACAGACCTGAATAACACTATGGCCATAACAGACATACATAGAACACTCCATCCAACAACAGCTGTGGTTTCTCAAGTGCACATGGAACATTCTCCAGGATAAACATTCCCTCCATTAGTGCACAAAACAAGTCTCAATAAACTTGAAAAGACTGAAATAATACAAAGCATCTTCTACAAAAACAGAATCAAATCTGAAATCACTTACAGAAGGAAATCTAGAAAGTTCACAGATACATGAAGGTTAGACAACACACTCTTGAACAACCAGTGGAGAAATCACAAAACAAATTAGAAAATACTTTGAGACTAATGAAAGTGAAGGAACATCATACTAAGATTTTTGGGATGCAGCAAAAACATTGCCCACAGAGAAATTTATAGCTGTACATGACTACATTAAAAAAGAAATAAATCACTAACCTAACTTTACAATTTAAGTAACTGAAAGAAATGCAAACTAAATACAGAGCAATCAGAAGGAAATAATATTAGAATGGAGACAAAATAGGGAATATAAAAAATAATAAACCAAAAGTAAGTTATTTGAAAATATCAACAAAACTGACATATCTTTAGCCAGACCAGGAAAGAAAAAAATGAGAGAAGACCCAAATAACTAAAATCTGAAATAAAAGTAGGGACATTACTACTGATCTTACATTAAAAAAAGGATTATGACAGTCTTCACCTAGAGTCGTGTGCTCTTCTACTTCAACAGTGCTTGGACGGAACCCAGCGCTCATCGCACACCCCAGCCACTGGCTAACACCCAGCCCTCGGCCACCTCCTCACAACACCCTCAGACTGCCCAAAGGACCCTGCCACGGCTCCAGCACTGTGTAGCCTCTGCCTTCGCTGCTGCCTCTCAGCCAGTGGCATGATAACTGTGTCCCTCTTGCAGTTGTGCCAGAACTACCACCAGGACTTAGATACCTCTGTCAACTGCCAGATCAACCTAGAGCTCTATGCCTCCTACATCTATCTGTCTTACTACTTCAACCATGATGATTTGACTTTGAAGAACTTTGCCAGATATTTTCTTCACCAATTTCAGGATAGGGAACATGCTGAGAAACCGATGAAGCTGCAGAACCAGCAAAGTAGTCAAATCTTCCTTCAGGATTCAAGAAACCACACTGTGAGTGTGCATTACACTTGGAAAAAACATGAATCAGTCATTACTAGAACTGCAAAAACTGGCCACTGACGAAAATGACCCTCATTTGTAGGCAACTTCATTGAGACTCATTACCTGAATGAGTGGGTGAAGTCCATTAAGAATTGGGTGACCATGTAACCAACTTGAGCAAGATAGGGGTCCCTGAATCTGGGATGGCAGTGATAACCAGAGCTAAGCCTTACGCTGGCTCCCCAGAGCTACACGCTGACTTCCGTGGCCACCAAGGCAGTGCATGCTTGTTGGTGTTACCTTTACCTCTTCTGTAAGTTGTACCAAAACATCTACTTCAGTCCTTTCATTTGTACCACTCCTGCAAATTTGGTATAAAAAAAGGATTATAAGGTAAAACTGAACAATCGCACACCAACACATTACATAACCTAAATGAAATGGACACATTCCTTGAAACATTCAAGTTGCCAAAACTGGCTCAAAAAGAAATAGAAAAGCTGAACTGACCTAGAAAAATTAAGTAGATTGAATCAATAGTAAGAAATGTTCCAACAAAGAAAACTCCAAGACCAGGTAACTACACTGGTTAATTCTGCCACATGTTTAAAGAAGAATTAACACTATTACTTCTCAAACTCTTCCAAAAAATAGAAGAAGAGTGAGCACTTCTGACTCACTCTTTGAGACCAGTATCACCCTGATACCAAAGCCAGACAAAGATGTCAGAAAAAAAAAGGTTAAAATAGCACAAATATGCCTTACAAATACAGATATACAAGTGTTCAATGAAATATTAGCATACTGAATCCAACAGTACATTAAAGGATTGTACACCATAACCAAGTGGGATTTACCCCCGGCATACAACCAATGTTCAACACAAGAAAATCAATTGATGAAATAAACCATATTAATAGAACAAAGGAAAAAACACATTATCATCTCAGTTGATGCACAAAAAGCATTTGACAAATTCCAATACCATGTTATGATAAAAACACTCAGAAAACTAGGAATATACGGACCATTCCTTAACATTTATGGGCATTTATGAATATACACAGCTAGCATTTGACCTAATGGTGAAAGATTGAAAGCTTTCCCCCTAAGATTGGGAACAACACAAGGATGCCCAGTTTAACCACTGCTATTCAACATTAGACTGGTAGTTCTAGTCAAAACAATTAGGAAAAAAAAAAGGTCCAAGTTGGAAAACAAGAAGTAAAAGCTATCTTTATTTGCAGATGACATGATTCTCTATATAGAAAATCCCAAAGAGGCCTCCAAAAGCTACTAGAGCTAATAAATGCTGGTGTGCAGCATGGACAATCCAAAAGGGAAATTAAGAAAACAATTTCACTTAACAATAGCATCCAAAATAAAATACCCTAGGAAAAAAAATTTAACCAAGGAGGGGAAAGAGTTGTAAAGTTGAAAGTAGAATATGCTGCTGAAAGAAATGATCACCTAAGTAAATCAAAAGACATCCCATGTGCCTGGATTGAAAGACTTAAATTCAGTTTAATCCAGAAACACAAGGTTCTTTTGGCTTCAGTAAATCTAAATGTAATTCAAAATGTAATCTAATTAACTACATCAAATTAAAGGAGAAAAACCCTACAGTTGTATATCAATAGATACTGGGAAGAAATTGACAAAGATCATTGTTAATGGATACTGTCAGGTACTTGATGTGCCTCCTTTCATTTAATTTTCCCAGCAACCCTGTGCCCCCTTTTACTGATGAGGAAACAAGCTCAGAAGTTAAGAGACTTGCACAAATTCACAAAGCTGGCATACAGGGCCATTTTCAGTGTCAGGCACTAATTTTATGTTTGTCAGCCCTGAGTTACCCACTAATATCCTTGGCTTTAATTTCTATAAAGTTATTTGTCTCTTTTTCCTGCTGGTTTTGATGATTTCTTTATATGTTCTGGAAATTTCATCTTTTGTCTGTCAAGTATGTTGTAGATATTTAGCACCAGGCTGACTTTGTTTATTGTGATTTGTCAGACTAAAAGCTTTAAAACAATGAATCAGTGTTATCCATCATTTTATTTATTCCTTTCTCTTCTTTAAAAGACCTCTTTTCCTTAAGAACATAAATATAGTCTTACTTTCTTCTTCTTTTATAATTTTGGTCTTTAAATTTAGAACCTTAATTCATCTGGAACTTACCTTTAGTTAACTCCTTGCAGTTGGAGTCAAACTTCATTTTATCCCAAATGAGTAACTAGTTGTTCCTGCACCACTTTTTGAGCAGTATACTGCATATCCACTGATTTGAAAAGCCATTTTGATCATATACTGTTTCTTTGTATATACATGAGCCCATTTCTGGTCTTTTCTTTACTCCCTTGATGGGTTTATCTTCTATTCCTTTGCCAATATCCTACTTTTTCTTTGCTTAGTTACTATGGCTTTTTAGCATGGAAACAGGCAGTGTGTGCAGCGACTGAGAGCATGGGGCCTTGAGCCAGACAGCCTGGTTTGAGTACTGAAGCTACCTTTAACTAGGTGGTGACTTTGGGAAAATAATTCAAGCTCTATCTCAGTTTTACTTTAATGTAATATGGAGATACTATATCACTATTCAGTTCTTAAAATTATTGTGAGGATGAAAGGAATTAATGTTAAGTAACCAACCCAGCCTGCCGTCAGGCTAGCACAAGCAGGCATTTTCACAGCTGTCTAGTGCTCTTCTCTGGCTCCCTAATTAATGGCTCAGGTGTGCAGGAATGAGAGCATAAGGGGCGGGGGTGGGGCAGAGGGGAAACTACCCTGGCTCAGGAGCCATAAGGGACCCTCCCTCTGTTAACAGTCCCCTGTGCAGAGCATCCCCAGGTCCCTGTCCAGGATGGCCCAAGAACAAGAGGTGCGCTGCACTTGAGCCCAGGCTGTGGCTGCCACCAGGTGTCAGTTATGTTCCCTCGCAGCCCTCCCAGCCCAGCTGCAGGGCACCAGCCAGGGCATTTTCCCAGAAGCAGGCCTGCCTGGTCACGCAGGTGACCGCCTGCCTTCATCAGGTTTTCAGGGGAACAGCTAGCAAGCCAGTCCAAGGTCAGTTCCCCACCTTCAAGGACAAAGAATTTTGGTAATCCTATTTTCACTATTTCCAGGAGGAGTGGAGAATATATGGCAGCAAAACCAACAAATATCCACTATAAGATTTCTCATTAGATTAACAGGTTTTGTTGCTTTTCTAAATAGGATTTTTTCCCTTCTTTCTATTATAAATTCTGGATGATTATCCTTCCATAGGTGCTATGGATTTCCCTGTGTTGCTCTTGTAACTAGATACACCGCTGAACTCTGTTAGTAGTAGTAGTTTGCCATTGGATTGTAATGGATTTTTCTATTGTTCTTTAATCATGAATGTCTCTGTTCTTATCAAATGCCTGTTTGTCATTTTCTGAGTTACTAATGTGATTGTTTTCCCTTTAAGTTTAGTAAAGGTAATGATTTATATTGAAAGCTTTCTAAATAGTGAACTGTTGTATTCCTCAAATAAACCTTACTTTGCTATGATGTATTGTCCTTTTAATACAAAGTCAGTGCTATTTGCTAGTATTTGGCTTAGGATTGTTGCATCTGTGTTCATAAGTGAAACTAGCCTGAAACGATCTGGTCTTGGACTTCTTGTCTGGTTTTGGTACCAGGATTATTTCATTAAGTTATAATTGAATTGGATTTTTTTCCTCTTTTCTGGAGAGACAGTATAGCACAATGATTAAGGATATGACTCTAGCCAAATGCTTTGAGTAGAATCCTGATTTTCCATTATCTTTTTTTTTTAAGGGGCTGACTTTTTTTTTCTTTTGTTATCATTAATCTACAATTACTTGAAGAACATTATGTTTACTAGGCTCCCCCCTTCACCAAGTCCCCCCCCACATACCCCTTCACAGTCACTGTCCATTTGCGTAGTAAGATGCTGTAGAATCACTACTTGTCTTCTTTGTGTTGCACAGCCCTCCCTGTACTCCCCACACACTATACATGATAATCATAA